CCGGGTTTACGCCATTCTCCTGCCTCAGCCTCCCGAGTAGCTGGGACTACAGGCGCCGCCACCACGCCTGGCTAGTTTTTTGTATTTTTTAGTAGAGATGGGGTTTCACCGTGTTAGCCAGGATGGTCTCGATCTCCTGACCTCGTGATCCGCCCGTCTCGGCCTCCCAAAGTGCTGGGATTACAGGCTTGAGCCACCGCGCCCGGCCCATTTCCTCTCTTTTTTTTGGCCAATATATTTATATGTTTGGATCTATCTATATTTAGGTATAGTAATCAATAGCATTTTAAACAGAAGTGGGTGCATCTTTCTCTGTTCACAAGAACAGAGAAATTTGTGTCCTGAAGTTTGAAAGTGTGGCTGATATCGTGAGCTATTCCCCCATGTTGTAAATATCTAGAGGCTGTTTTAAATAGGAGAGGCCTTGGGGTGCATCTCTCTGACAATGTCTTTATTTTGTTTTGGATCCCAAGTAAAGCCCTTTTGATGTCCTCAGGGGTCTGTGTGTTCACACAAGAGTTATCAAGTGGACAGAAGTTTGTTATTCTTCTGGGCTTCCTAGGGCCTCTTCTTCAAGGATTTAGTTATATGTGAACCTTTAAATTGTACCCATGATGTATTTAGGAGTAGATATGTTTTTCTATCAATTAGTGTAGTATTAATATATTGCTAACACTTAGAAGTGACCACTATTATCTTCTAAACAAAAAACATATTTTATGTCTAAGATTGTTTACCTACGAGGACAGTTCTCTGTATCATTACAGCTAACAGATTGAGTCAAAAAGATAGTTGTCTCCTTACTTCCTTATGATTCTTTAGTTGAGCAGCATGCCTATTGGACTAATAAATTATTGTGTTGCTTTTTTTTTTTTTGAAGTTATGTTTCTCTTTTCTTCTTAAAAAGCATGTGGAGATTTCCCTTTCCCCTTCACCAGAATGGCGGTCTGACATCTGTCTCAACTTTTCTCACCTTGGTGGGTGCCTGCTTTTGGCAACATATGGGGTCTGTTTAGATTTAGCTCGACACGATTTTAAAACAAAGGTCTGTTGCATCTCTTGCTGCAAATTTGGGTCTTTTCTTGTGGAAAGATGAGGATTAAGCTTAGATCTGCTTCTCTTATTCTAAATGTTTTAATTGAAAAACATAGCTTATAGAAGAATTGGGGGACTCTGGGGTAATTTTCACTTGTGATAGAGGTGGCAGGCGATGAAGGTGTGAAATGGGGTGGGAAAAATGTCTTTAAGTACCTTTAGTACTTTTTACATAATCTAAACACATTGTTTTGCACATTTGCAAGTTCTGATTAATAATATTATTAATAATTTATAGTAACACTTATAGGATAACATTTGTAGGATACTTACAGGATACTTACTATGTGCCCAGTTTATTTAATCCTCGCAGAACTGTGTAAGAGAGGAACATTACCAACCCTCCATTTTACTGATGAGGAAACAGTGGCACAGATAGGCAAAGTAATTTGCCTCAGGTCACACGGCTGGTCAGTGATAGAGATGAAATGATGAAGTATGGTATAGGTGAGTTCATACTGCCTCTGTAATGTGTTTAAATACTTCATCTGCATAATTTTATGTTTTAATTTTTGTGAACTTTTAAATTCATTTTAATTTTGAAAAATTTCTGAGTTTGGCTAGGGGTTAATAGGTATTTTCTGTCTTATTCTGGTTATTTTAAATCATTGTGCTGCTAGTCCAGTGGCATGACTCATGGAGGTGAATTAATGGCCCATGTGACACTGCTGTTATGAATCTATAGATAATTCAGAAAGTTTCTCTGCTTTTTGAGCTGCACTGATGAAAGGTCATCTAGTCTGTAAATACAAAGTCTTTTTGTTAGTGTTGCCTATCATTCTGGCCTCTTTTGCCAGACATTCATGATCAGTGTCAGAAGATAGGCGATATAGGAACAAATGAAATTTCTGGCTTATTTTTATTTATGATATGTTAGGGGAAAAAAAAGTTCTTCTTTTTTCCCCTTTCCCTAAACTTGCAATATTTAAATAGTATGACACCGTAAAACGCCACCTCAAGCCTGCATTTCAAGGAAATTCCTGAATTTTCCTTGCTAATGAGTGGAGGATGAGAGCAGGGATGAGAACTAGCTAGCTGTTACTCTGCTCTGCAATACTCTGCTCTCTCTTTACTGATAGAAAGTACCTTTAATTCTGTCGTGCTTGCTGGTGGCACCAGCCAAGAGAATTGTGACCCATACCCCTTAACTTACATCAGTGGTTCTCAAAATGTGGCCTCAGGACCAGCATCATAAGCATCTCCTGGGAACTTGCTAGAAATGCAAAATCTCGGCCCCACCCAGACCTACTAAATCAGAATCACGGTGGATGGGCCCTGCAGATGTGGTGTGAAGAGTCCTCCAGGTGATTCTCACGCACACAGCAGTTTGAGAATACCGTTTGCAGTATCCACTGGCTCAGGGCCAGAGGAGTGCATCTGTGTAGACACCTTAGCATGTGGGCTCTGCTTGGGGCAGTGATTGGAGCTGCCAACACTAAATTTCCAGAGGGTTCTTTTGCCTCTGGTCAGGACAGTACTTTAAAGGCTTATGAACTAACACTTCATTATCATGCAACAGTGAGTCTTGCTTTGAGAACAAGTACCTTTAGAGGTACACTTGGTAGTAGGCCTTCACTATTTAAAGATTAGTAACATGGCCACTGGCTTGTTCATGGGCCTTCGGGCTTGGGGCAGCCTCTCTTAATTTCCCTTTTCCTAGAACTTTAAACAGCATCCAGAGAGCTGGGAGGTGACTCAACACAATCACAGGGTAGGGACATACTTTTTAAACAAAATTGGAGGAGAGAGGATTATGCTCTCTAAATACTGATTACATAAAACCCTCATTTTGATATCTTAGAGAGAATGCCTCCTAAAAAATGTATAGGAAAACTTGAGGCAGACATAGGAAATTTTGCTTGTGGATGGGATATAAAAACATTTGAATAAACATGAGAAAAATTTACAAGCACAAAACTTACTGAGTAGTTGGTGTTCTTTCACTTTTAGTGGAATCCTGTTTTGCTTTACCCAGTTCAGCTTTATAATTTATTACTTAATTCTGTTATCTATCTATCAATTAGCTGTTAGTACAGTATACTCCACTGTAATTTGAAGAGATCAAACATAATTGAAACAGTTTGATAAAAGGCAGCAGATGGCCAGGCGCAGTGGCTCACGCCTGTAATCCCAGCACTTTGGGGGGCCGAGGCGGGTGGATGACCTGAAGTCAGGAGTTTGAGACCAGCCTGGCCAACATGGTGAAACCTCGTCTCTACTAAAAATACAAAAATTAGCCTGGTGTAGTGGCGTGTTCTGTAGTCCCAGCTACTCAGGAGGCTGAGGCAGGAGAATCACTTGAACCCGGGAGGTGGAGGTTGTAGTGAGCTGAGATTGTGCTGCTGCACTCCAGCCTGGGTGACAGAGCCAGACTGTTTCCAAAAACAAACAACCAAACAGAAAAAAAAGTGGAAGCAGTAGAGCATGGCATGTAAGAGATAAAATTTACTAGTGGTGTGACCTTGAATATATTACCCTCTCTGCTTAACTTTTTTCCTCTGTAAAATGGGCATTGTATTAATACTTGAGATGGTAATTGTGTGGATAAAATGAGATATAGAACAGTGCTTGTTCTATAATAAACAATAAATATTAGCCAATATTTTGGATTGGACCTTACTATTTTTTTAGACTAGTTTTACTTTTTTTTTCTGAGTGTATTTTAAAACCTAAGTGTAAATGTTAGAATAAAGAACTGGATTTTTAATACAAAGTTTCCTAGTGAGTGTCCATATGTTCTGGTTGAGTTTTCTCGATAGTTGATGGTTAGATTTGTTAATTGGGTTATTTTGAGGTTTTTGGATCTTTTTTTGATATCATGATATTCCATTCTGAAAGTATAGAATATTGGATTAAATTTATTCGGCATGTTCTCTAAAATGGTGTTTTGATTACATCTCTGATGTGAATTTATTTTGATGTCATTTTCCTCTTTTCGAATCGAGATCCAGTAATATCAAGTTAGTTAGGGTTTGGCTTAGTTGGGTTCCAATTAGTTTAATTATATGCAGGTAATCTCTAATTTAGATGCCTGTTGAGATACAGAAGTTAATTTTTAAGTTATTTTGAACTTGTAATATATTTCCTCTTAAAAACCATGTTTCCAAAGCATGATCAGGCATAGGGCAACCCCCAAAAGCCTGTTCAACCTCAAATGTGGATATGTAGACCTACAGTGCAGTGAGATGTAATCATGTAAGAATTTTAGGCTGGGTGCGGTGGCTCACACCTGTAATCCCAGCACTTTAGGAAGCCAAAGCAGGTGAATCACCTGAGGTCAGGAGTTCAAGACCAGCCTGACGAACATGGCGAAACCCCATCTCTACTAAAAATACAAAAATCAGCTGGTGTGGTGGCACGTGCCTGTAATCCCAGCTACTTGGGAGGCTAAGGCAGGAGAATCACTTGAACCCAGGAGACGGAGGTTCCAGTGAGCTGAGATCTCACCACTGCATTCCAGTCTGGGCAAGAGAGTGAGACTCTGTCTCAAAAAAAAAAAAAAAAAAAAAAAAAAGAATTTTCTGTGGAAAAATGGATTATAGGTGACAATCAGGATACCAAGATGACATTTTTCTTACTCCTCCCACCCTCTTCCCTAAGCTGTGTGACCCTGACCTCGTCTAACATGAGTGATTTCGGTCAGGCCTCCACTTGCCTTTTGGAGGTTGAAGAGGGTTCCTGTGGTATCATGGTGGCAAGATATGTGGCTGTGAAGCTTTGGAAACAGGAGATGGCTTTAGGGTAGTTTCTAGGGTGCTTGGGCTTATGGGACTGAGAACTTTAGGCCCTAGAGTCTTGGCGGTGGGGATTCATTGTAGATGTGAGCCACAGGCCAGAAGAGGGAAGGGGAGCCACAGCCTGCAGATCCACTGTCGGGCAATTGGCAACTGTATACAGTACATTTCTTTTTTTTTTTTTTTAGAGATCTGAAGTGATTTTACCTTTATTTCCTTCACTTTAAGCCAATCATGAAATTTCACAGTGATTTCTGGGGTGGGGGTAGAAGGAAGGCGGTGTTAAGAATCATCGGGGCTGTGGCCCAGTCAGCCCGCGGAGGTGCAGGCAGGGTGGGCCCTCACTGGGGCAGCTGGAGGAGCACAGACTGCCCCGCTGGCAGGTAGGTGATGTTCCGAGAACGTGAGAGCTGGTACGCGATGTCCTCCGCGGCTTCCAGCTTGCGCAGCTCGATCAGGCCATCCCCTGCAGTGGCCAGTGAGTTGGCAATCAGCTCAGCCGCCTTGGAGTCACCCTCAGCAGAGATAATGGCTGCCTTTTTTTGCTGCTCAGCCTTTTCCACCACAAATCTGGCCCTCTCTGCTTCCTGCTGAGCCACCTGTTTGGCTTCCACCGCTTCTGTGAACTCCTTCCCGAAGGTCAGATGTGTCAAGGACACGTCATCCAGGATGAGCCCAAAGGTGGCTGCTCGCTCTGTAAGATCGTCGCTCACCTGCCTGGAGACCAGCTCCCTTTGGGTGATTAGTTCTCCAGCATCAAAGCGAGCCACCACTGACTTGAGGATCTCGGTTGTGATGGATGGCAGCACACGCTCATCATAGTCCTCTCCGATGCTGGTGAAGATGCGAGGAAGCTGGCTAGCGACGGGCCGGAAGAGGATGCGCAGTGTGATGTTGACATTCTGTAAATCTTTGCTACCAGTGATGACTGGCACATTACGTGGTCGAGAACGGCAGTCAAAGATAATTGGTTTCTGTACCCATGGGATGAGAAAGTGAGTCCCTTCCCCTACCACAATGTCCTGTACTCCACGGAACCGGTCAAAGATGACAGCTCTGTGCCCAGCATCCACATTATATAAGGCAGAGTTCACCACGCCTCCTGCAACAGCTAAGGCCAGGCCAAACTTGCCAATGGACTCAAACACTTTGGCAGCCATGTTTTCTTCTGCTGGACCCTCTCACACCTGCTTCCACTCTGACCTCCACATGAATTCCCCAACTATACAGTACATTTCTATCTGAGTGTTTGTAAATAGGGGGCTGCTTGTAGTGCCTCTTTTAATTTTTTCCTGGGGGATTTTTTTTTTTTTTTTTTTTTTTAAAGAGACTGGTGGCCTAGGTTGGAGGACAATGACGGGATCATAGTTCTCAATAGCTCACTTAACCTTGAACTTCTTGGCTCAAGTCATCCTCTTACCTAAGCCTCTGGAGTAGCTGGGACTACTACAGATGCGTGCCACCTTGTCGAGCTGCTGGGAAACTTTAAATGGATGAGGGCCAGAAGTTTTATCAGTCTTTAACCAGCAATCCCATTACTGGGTATACAGCCAAAGGAATGTAAATCATTCTGTTATAAAGCTACATGCACGCATATGTTCACTGCAGCACTGTTCACAATAGCAAAGACATGGATTCAACCCAGATGCCCATCAATGATAGACTGGATAAAGAAAATGTGACATGTATACACCATGGAATACTATACAGCCATAAAAAGGAACAAGATCATGTCCTTTGCAGGGACATGGATGAAGCTGGAAGCCATCATCCTCAGCAAACCAATGCAGGAGTAGAGAACCAAATGCTGCATGTTCTCACTTATAAGTGGAAGCTGAACAATGGGAATACATGGACACAGGGAGGGGAACAACACTTACTGAGGCCTGTGAGGGGAGGGCGGGGTAGGGGAGAGCCTTAGGAAAAACAGCGAATGCATGCTGGGCTTAATACCTAGGTAATGGGTTGTTAGGTGCAGCATACCACCATGGCACATGCTTACCTACGTAACAAACCTGCACATCCTGCACATGTACCCTGGGACTTAAAAGAAAAAACACAGTAAAATAATAAACCAAATTACATCCTTTAAAAATTAAAAAAAATTATATCAACAGATGCAGAAAGAGCATGCAATACAATTCAACATCTTTTTCTTATAAAAACTCTTAGTAAATTAAAAGGAGAATTTTTACCTAATAAAGGATATATTTTAAAAGTTGAAAAAAATTTTGTTGCGTTTTTTACTTAGCTCTATTGCTGGAAATGATTATCTTCATGTATATGTAGTTTTATCCTTACTTTGAATACCATACCTTAGTCTATAGCTTTGTATCTATAATCCCGTTTATCTACTGATAAAATACAAGAAAACATTCAACTTTATGAGGGAATGCATTTACCTTTAATTTCTGTTTAAAGATTGTGGTGTGTATGTGTGTGTGTGTGTGTTTTTTTTGAGACAGAGTCTCGCTCAGTCGCCCAGGCTTGAGTGCAATGACTGCTTGATCTCCACTTACTGCAAGCTCCGCCTCCTGCGTTCACGCCATTCTCCTGCCTCAGCCTCCTGAGTAGCTGGGACTACAGGTGCCTGCCACCACGCCCGGCTGATTTTTTTAAATTTTTTTTTTTAGTAGAGACAGGCTTTCACCGTGTTAGCCAGGATGGCGGCGATCTCCTGACCTCATGATCTGTCCGCCTCGGCCTCCCAAAGTGCTGGGATTATAGGCATGAGGCACCGTGCCCCGCCGTGTGTATGTGTGTTTTAACAAACAGCACGCTAACCATTAAAAGCCCTTACCACTCGCACTCTTCAGTCTTTGTAAAAGGATCTGGTTTATAGAATCCTGCAAGCTTTTGGTAAAGTACATGTTTTTAAGTCATGTTAATTGTGTAAAGAAAAGACAGACTTGAGCTTGTTAAAAATTATTCCTGTCAAGTGCCATGTAGCTTCACATGTCAAACATGACTTGAAAATGTTTTCCTCCAGTGGCCATGTCTTAACAATTTATGTTCCAGAAGGAGTTTCTTGGAAAGAATTAAATAATGAGAAGTCACATTTTTCTTTCAAGTTCGATTTCCAAAGTGAAAATGAACTTCTGTTTTTTAACTTAAACTTGAAAAAAATTCAATGAGAGCCTTTAGAATTGTGCAATGATTGTGTTGTATGGAATTGGGCTTCCCTATCTTTGTTGCCAGAAATGAAACTTGACTTTTTTTTTTTTTTTTTTGTTTTTTTAAAAATGAAGAAATAGAAGAAATAAAAAAGGCTGAGTCTGGGATACTGTTCTAGTCACTTAAATCTTAGCTAAGTAAATGTGTGTTTATATTAATGGGGCGGGACAAAATAAGAAGAGTTTTTTTTTTTTTCCCCACTGGTTAAATACCACCCCCACCCCCCCGCCCACCAAATATTGCTTTGCAAATTCCTCAGACTTTCTCATTGAAAATATATGAATAGCTAAAAATGAATATTTAGCATGATTAGAAAATATCATACAGTTTTTACAGTGAAATTCCAATTAAGTTACTGGATTCCAAGTTACAGGAATTCCAGTTGATTATTCGTTTTTTCTTGATATTTGAGCTAATGGAGAAGAGATATAATAGAAATAATCTAGAAACATTATCTATCTATCTATCTATCTATCTATCTATCTATCTATCTATCTATCTATGAGATAGTCTTGCTCTGTCTCCCAGGCTGGAGTGCAGTGGCGCGATCTCGGCTCACTGCTACCTCCCCCTCCTTGGTTCAAGTGATTCTTCTGCCTCAGCCTCCTGAGTAGCTGGGATTACAGGCATGTACCACCACACCCAGCTAATTTTTGTGTTTTTTTAGTAGAGATGGGGTTTCACCATTGGCCAGGCTGGTCTCAAACTTGTGAACTCAAGCAGTCTTCCTGCCTGGGCCTCCCAAAGTGCTGGGATTACAGTCATTATATTGTGCCCAACCCTCTGATATCTTCTAAGAAGCATTAAGTTGATGCATATTTTGTGCATGTCTCTTCTCTCATTTAATGGATAGTTTTACTGGCTAAGAGGTTCTAGATTAAAAATCCTTTACCCTTTCTATTTTGAAGACATTATTACTTTAACTTCTTTAACCTTTTAGTTTCCAGTGTTGGTATTGAGAAGCTTGAGATGTTCTGATTCCTGATCATTTGTGTGTAACTTTCTTTTCCTTGATAAATGCTTATGTGATCAGTTTTTTAATCCCAGTGTTTTGAAATTTCACAGTAATGTCCCTTGAGATGTGTGTGTTTTAATTAATACTTGTTGGGTACTTGATGAGTTCTTTGAATCTAGAAGCTCTTTTCCTTTAGTGCTGAAAATTTTTTAAATTTAATTCTTAATTTCTAATTATTTTTCTCTCTTTGTATTTTCAAATGTTAGATCTGCTGGATTGATCCTTAAACTTTCTTTTCTTTATGCTTTTCCGTCTCATTGTCTTTTAGTTTTACTTTCTGGGCCATTTCTTTTCTTTCTTTTTTTTTTTAATTTGGTTTTTGTCTATATAGCAAAGGCATTGATATTTATTTTTATTTATTTATTTTTTTGAGCCTTGCTCTGTCACCCAGGCTGGAGTGCGGTGGCGCAATCTCGGCTTGCTGCAACCTCCACCTCCTGGGTTCAAGCAGTTCTCCTGCCTCAGCCTCCCAAGTAGCTGGGATTACAGGTGCAAGTCATCATGCCCGGCTAATTTTTGTATTTTTAGTAGAGACAGGGTTTCACCATGTTGACCAGGCTGGTCTTGAACTCCTGACCTCAAGTGATCTGCCCACCTCAGCCTCCCAAAGTGCTGGGATTACAGGCATGAGCCACCACGCCCAGCCTATTTTTATTTTTATTTTTTTAGAGACAGAATCTTGCTTTGTCACTCAGGCTGGAGTGTAGTGGCGTGTTCATAGCACACTGCAGCCTCAAACTCCTGGCCTCAAGTGATGCTCCTGCCTCAGCCTCCCTAGAGTATCTGGGACTCCAGACATGCACCACCATGCCTGGCTAATTTTTAAAACATTTTTTATAGAGGTAGGAGTCTCACTGTGTTGCTCATCTTGAACTCCTGGCCTCAGCAATCCTCCCTCCTCAGCCTCCCAGGGTGCTGGGATTACAGGCATTGAACCACTGTGCTTGGCCTATCTTGTCCATTTCTTACTCTTTCTTTTTCAGTCCTTCTACTGAGCTTTTCATTTCTGCTATCAGGTTTTTCATTTGCAGGAGCTTGTTTTGTTGTTGTTCTAGGTATTCTTTTATATAACATCCTGCTTTTAGTTTATTGATATACTGTCTCTTATCTCTGAGACTATTGAGTTTTTAAAGTTTTTTTTTTTTTTTTTTTTTTTTTTTTAACCTTCTACAGTGTTTGCTGCAAGTTGTTTTTTTCTGTTTGGATCTCTTTTCCATTTGAATGATTTAAAGGTGTGTCTAGTAGTCTCTGGCTATCTCTATTCATGTAAGAGGGTGGGGGACTCAAAGGCTGCTTGGAAGGTCTGAGTGTTTGAAGGGGGCTTGTTGGCTGGGTGGGAGTGTTGTGGGGAAGAGGACCTGTCAATAACTATTGATTGATTGATTGATTTTCTTTTTATTTTATTTTTTGAGATGGAGTCTCGCTCTGTCACCCAGGCTGGAGTGCAGTGGCGCGATTTCATCGCACTGCAACCTCCGCCTCCTGGGTTCAAGCAATTCTCCTGCCTCAGCCTCCCAAGTAGCTGGGATTACAGGCACATGCTACCATGCCCGGCTAAATTTTGTATTTTTAGTAGAGACAGGGTTTGACCATATCAGCCAGGCTGGACTCGAACACCTGACCTTAGGTGATCCACCCACCTTGGCCTCCGGAAGCGCTGGGATTACAGGTGTGAGCCACCGCACCTGGCCTGTCAGTAACTTTATTTAGGTCATCGTAGGCTGCTCAGTTTCTCCAAAGAAGACCCCTCTACTCTCTTAGCTGGCTGGTAAGGCCCAGCTGTCAGCTTTACAGGAGCTGTGTAGAAGGAAGCCTGGGTCTCAGCATTCAGAATACATCTTTTTACTTAATTCCTCTGTGTTTGGTAGGTTCTCAACTGTGCTTTGTATTCTCAGAGCAGAAACCTGTTTTAGGCTGGGTGCGGTGGCTCAAACCTGTAATCCCAGCACTTTGGGAGGCCGAGACCCGTGGATCACGAGGTCAGGTGATCGAGACCATCCTGGCTAACACGGTGAAACCCTGTCTCTACTAAAAAATACAAAAAACTAG